CTGGGTGTCTCCTACCCACCTTCACACTTCCACGGCTGCACACAGGCATCGGTGCATGCACAGGCACGCACACTCAGGCATGAATGCCCACGTATGATGCACACACACACACGGGCAGCCGTCCGCACGTGAACACATGCACAGGCACAGGTCATTGTGCACACACAGCCACGCACAGATTCGCACACACATAGTGGCCAGGGAACAGCTTGAGTTAACCTAAAAGCTATTTTCATTTGACACTGAGATGTTTCGTGTGATGTCCTTACCAAAAAAATGCCCAAAAGTGACTTTCTAAGTCTGCTGGCTGAGCTTCTCCATTATGGTCCCTGCATGTCCACCTGGCTGGGCCTGAGTGTGTACATGTGGGTGTGTGTACATATGAATGTATACATATGTGTGTGCCAGTGAGCGTGTACATATGTGTGTACCAGTGAGCGTGTACATATGTGTGTGCCAGTGAACGTGTACATATGTGTGTGCCAGTGAGTGTGTGCATGTGGATGTGTGGCCCCCCCCTGGGCTTCAGGACTCACAGGTTCCGCTGCCAGTCCTGGTAGGAGGCAGCCCCGCAGCACTGCAGCCCCAGCTGGACTTGGTCGATGAGGAAGCAAAGGTCAGGGTCGTCCTGGTAGTGGGTGATGGCCACGCGAAGGGCATGCTCCAGGCCATCCTGCAGCGGGCCCCAGAGAGCCACCACCAGGGCCCCCACCACGGCCTCCAGCACAAGAAAGGCCAGGAGGCCCCCTGAGAAGCAGCGCAGCAGGCAGGCGTTCTCGCAGAGGGCACCCAGGCAGCCTGCCAGGCTCACCGCACTGACCGCCAGCCCCCCCAGCACCAGCCCCAGCATGGGGTCTGCAGGGAGGGGGCCCCCCCAGCTGCTCCCCAGAGACCCCTTGACAACCAGGCCCCAGAGCCCGATGGCCAGGGCCAGCAGGCCGAGCAGAGAGAAGAGAAAGTTGGATAGAAAAGTCAGGCACTGGAGGCAGCTGCTTCTCAATGGGAGGGAGAGGGCCTGGCCTCTGCCAAGGCCTGCCCTCCAGGCCCGCCCCTCTGGGAGCGCTGGACCCAGGTAGCTGTAAGTGAGGGGTGGCTCCTGGTCCCCAGAGTCCTGCAGAGGGAGGAGAGACAGGGAGCTCACCAGTGTGACCTCACAGCTGGGGTCAGCGCCAGCAGGGTGAGGGAGTGTTGGTCAGTGGTGGGGGAAGGCCGATTCAGAGACCCTAGGTAGCCAGGGACACGGGAGCTCCCAGGCTGGATGGGGCGGGTCCTAGCTTCTTTGGAAGCCAGATGACTGCATCCTGAGCAAGGTGACATGGGAAGTACATGCGTGCTCCATAAACGCACACCTCTCCCTGCTGTCCTCTGCGCCTAGGTGACGAAGGATGTGGTCACAGGGGGACTTTTCCACCCAGGCTGTGGGGGCGGAGGCAGGGGAGCCAGCTCAGGTAACTGCCCTCTCTGCCTCCCCTTCTGAAACAGGCCCCGATGTCCAGGATGCACTTGGTCACCCCCACTCTCTGAGTGTAGAGGCTGTGCTGGGCCCACAGCAAGGGGAGACAGGGGGCTCCCGGGAGACCAGGACCTTTCAAGGGGCCCCGCCTTGCTCTATAGCAGGACCCTCAGCCAAATCCAGGGGACAGGTACCAAGATGCAGGGTAAAGGGGTGCTGAATGCTGGAGGGCCCACCCACTCTCTTGGTCTCCCACAGAGAAGTGGCTCATTGATCTTTGAGGTTAGGAGAGGCCTGTAAGCCTGTTCCACTTGGCCCCTAAATGGACAGTCCCCTCTCCCAGCCCAACCCCTCCATCCACAGGCTGGTGTGGGAGGGCCTTCTGGTCTCTCCCTGTAGGGGGAGAGGGACAGCCTGTTTCACCAGCCCTGCTGGGGGACCCGCGGGCCCCAGTTCTGCCAGTGCTGCAGTCTGACTGGGGGACAAATGGGGAAGCCGTGGCTGCGGGCCCAGGCAGGGGTCCATTCCAATCCAGTTGACCAGGAATGTCCCTTCCCACCCCACCTGACTCTGCACTGACACTTCATTGATTCTAGACTCAGAGTGGAGAAGGGGGTTACTTATCAGCCCTCCAGGCCCCCAAAATCAGTAGGAACAAACAGACAAGCTTCGGGTGCCATGCCGGGGCTGCTGGAGGCCACAGGCACGGGCCTGCGATTGTCTTACAGCTCTATGGCCCACTGAGAGGGACATTGGCCTGCAGCCCCGCCTGCACTCTGAGCCAGAGATCACCCTCAGATCTGCAAGGAGACCCCCCCACCCCATCCGTTGTCCAGGAGCTGGCACTGGGTTGAGTGACATGAGCAGTGGGGAGGGGGAACCAGAGAGGTGAGGAGGCTGGGGGGGCTGGGGAAGGGGAGGGGAATGGGGAGGCCTGATGGCTCCATCTCCTGAGTGTGTGCTTTCCCCGGGGCATGGACACACCCTGTGCATACCGGGTCAAATGCAAAGGCAAGGCTGGGTCACATTCCAGAGCCCAAACAGGGTGCTGGGTGAGGTTAAGTGGCTGATTAGTAAAAACTCACCCCAGTCTTAGCAGCTTCTGTGAGCCTCAGGCCTGGGAACCTCTCCAACTG